GCTTTTAAAATCGTTCTGTGTGACACGAAAAAAAACGGTGAAAATCGTGTTGGTGAACACGAATCAATAGATTAAATGTTGTGACTATACCACGAAATGCTGTGAGACTGTGTTGAATAATAATAGGGCAGAATGTCTCTTTTTATGTTTGCTTTGTGTTGTTTACTTTGTTTTCGTTGTAGTCATGCAATGCCTGGAATACCTGCTGTTGTAAGACAAAACGTTCAGAATGTTGGATCAAATCACCTGGCTCAGCCACATGGTTATGGTTGGTTTGTATCTCTCATTTTGAATGTTTGTTTCTTGGCTTGGGTCATGGTGGCAGAGGGGGAACAAGGTTTTTTGAATGTTTTTACAAAACTGGACTGCTTCCCGGAGGGAGTATACAGCTGGTGTAGGCCTTGGTCTAACCTCTGCAAAGGCAGGAACAATAAAGCAGCTCTGGCTGAATCAGAGCTAACTGCTAACTGCTAAAGAAGTTCCGAGTCTCTTTACACGCTCTACTCCTTTAGAACAGTGGTTCCCAACCTTTTTTCCCAAGAGCCCCCCCAAAGTACTCCTGTTGGAAGTTGCGCAACAGCAGTAACAGCGGTAACAATTACGCAACAGCAGTAATTAAAGTTTAAAAGTCTCAAAAATGCTACAACTACTGTCACAAACTGGATGAATGTGAAGTATTTTGTTAAAGGAGGATGAAAGTGTAATTAAGGAACACTATTGGAGTGACTTTGATCGTTATTGGACTCAGGATTAACTCATTTGGATGCCCGCTGTATGAAGAAATTAAAGGACGGTGCAAGTGGAAACAATTCACAAAGGGATTAAACTGTTTAAAACACATGCTCAAAGTAAGCCGAATTTTGCCGATGTGTTTACGTGGATTCAAAAGTCGTAAATAATCTACAAAATGGAGGAGACCGATCTGATCGGAGCAACTGTGACAAATAATCCAACTGAAACCGGCATGGACAATGACTATGTTTTAAAAATGCGCTTATCCAGACAAGCCCGGTTTGGGCACTTTACGGGAAAACATTTCTATTAAAGACATAATTATACATTTCTGTCTTTTTATGCCTTTAATAGCTACTAACTTGAATTTTTATTCAAATTAATTAATCAATTATTTTTATTTTTTTATTGTAATGTAGAGACAAGGCTTTTAGTGACAATCATGTATTGCTTTACAATTATATGTAAAAAAAAAAAAAAGTCTAAATATGATATTCGGCCCAAATCATCTGAGGCCTGGCGCCCCCCGTGGGATCTTTGGCGCCCCCCAGGTTAGGAACCACTGCCTTAGAAGACAGGCAAGATGGAGCATTGGGGCGAGAGAACTATCAGACTTCAGGTTTTCTTGATACAACATTCATTTGGACAAGCTCTTATATCTGCTTGAACCAGCCGAGTCTACTCATTAGCTTGCTGAGGTGACAGAAGAATGGTGCAGCATGTGGTATTGAAAACAGAACGTCAGTCGAGCTGAGAAGATATGTCACTAAACCTTTTAATATATATAAGGCTAACAAGCATCTTTTAAAAATAAAACATACCCTTTAACCAATTCTACAGCAATAAAATCATTGCCATCTCCAGAGTTGAAGATGATGAAGCCGTCGGGGGAGGTGGTCTTGAACTGAAAGAAGAGGTGCATGGATGCGTAGGCCTGCAGCGTCGCCAGGCTCAGATAGCTGCTCTTTGATTTGAAGGTGACAGGGTCAGCGATAATTGAACGAACCCCAAAGCGGGCATTGAGCTCACAATAATCAATGTCCCCATTCTTGCACAGGTCAATGTAGAGCATGCCGTTAAATCTGCAGAAAAGACAGGAACAGGCACTCAAAATGATCATCTTTAAAATAAGGTCTTATTTGTCTACTTCAGGAAAAAGGATAATAAAAAAAACTGTCTGAAGCGTGGATGTGGGAGACCAATATTTAAATCAAATCCACAGTAAATGACATGATGGCTTCTTGACAAATAAAGCCACAGTCACTGACTTGTTGTGCCATTTGGGGGCAGAAGAACTGCTCAACAAGCTACAGTAAGTGCAATAAAGCACTGTGAAATGTGTGGTCGCATTGAATGTAATCTTTTTTCAGTTTTTCTTAATATCTTTTTTATTTATCTTATATTTACTATTGGTTCTAGAAAAAAAAAAAATTTGCTGACGAATAATTTGTCTTACAAGTATGGGCATAGATATGTCTCATAATTATTTGTGTGAACATAAAAATAATTTGTGTGTAAATATGTGATTTGGAAATGTAAAACACCATCCACAAATGCATTTAAAAGATTTGCAAACTCACAAATACATTTGCAAGTATACGGATCTGCAAATACGCTAAATATTTTCACAAATAAAAAAAAGATCTGTGAATATCTCGTTAACATTTACAACTTTCGATCAGGCATTTGTGAATCCATTTTGTATTTGTTGACCAAAAATGCGCTTGCGGATCTCAAATCTCTGCTCGTGGATCTCACATTTCTGCTTGTGGATCTTTTTACACACACGGAATTTTGAGACATATTTTCCGCCGGCCTTGGCTAAAATCTACTCGTGTCACTTGGTTATTTTCAGAAACCACGTGATGGCCCGCTGATGACGACATTTCCGGAGAAAAGCACCGTATTTAAGTTAGCCTTCATTGTAAGGCTACATTAAATGTTATAATAATCATTGTGTCCTTTCTACTGTACTGTATATGCATATATTCCTGTCTATTGCTTTCATTTGTATTTAATGTTATTGTTACTTGTTTCCACACATTTCACAATTTGGGATGAATGAAGTATCTATCTATACATGATATCCATCTATCTATCTATCTGTCCGTCAATCTATCTATCTATCTATCTGTCTGTCTGTCTGTCTGTCTGTCTGTCTGCCTGCCTGCCTGCCTGCCTGCCTGCCTGCCTGCCTACCTACCTACCTACCTACCTACTAGTTGTTTTGTTTGGAAAGGTTTTGTCATTGTATTGCTCTTTACCGGCACCTACAGAGCACAGGACTTTACATTGTACTTACAATTTTACATTGTAACTTTGACCCGCTTGACTGAATACTCAACAAACAGTGAAGAAAGAGTTTTTTCTGGGCTGCTTCGCTGCCAGCTGCTCCCCCCGGGATCCGAAAGCGGCGTAAAGCCTGTACTTCAAGATCAACGAAAGTGCTCGATATATGCTGTATTGAACCAATAAACTAACACAAACTAACTATATCACTATAACATGATGATGATGGTGATGAGTGATGATGATGATGATGATGATGATGATGATAAAGAATGCATCTAACGTTCCGCTGTTCATTATAATAAAAAAACAGAGCATTAAACAAACCATCATGCTCTTACTTTGAAATCATGCGGAAATGTCGTCATCAGCAGGCCATCACGTGGTTTCCGAAAATAACCGTGTGACACGAGTAGATTTTAGTCGAGACCGGCGGAAATGTCTCAAAATTCCGTGTGTGTAAAAAGACGATCCACAAGCAGAAATGTGAGATCCGCGAGCAGAGATTTGAGATCCGCGAGCAGAGATTTGAGATCCGCAAGCACATTTTTGGTCGACAAACACAAAATGGATTCACAAATGCCTGATCGAAAGTTGTAAATGTTAAAGAGATATTCACAGATCTTTTTTTTATTTGTGAAAATATTTAGCGTATTTGCAGATCCGTTTTACAAATCTTTTAAATGCATTTGTGGATGGTGCTTTACATTTCCAAATCACATATTTACACACAAATTATTTTTATGTTCACACAAATAATTATGAGACATATCTATGCCCATATATAAGACATATTTTTATTTTAACTGACACAGACCAACATTTGCATTTGTTTTTGTCTCATGGTTGTGTCCACTGGAAGAATATATTTTTCTTTATTATCTTTAAAGGGCAAAATAAATGTGTAAAGCTACTAAATCTGGGTGAAAGCTATGTGAACAAGTTACCTTGTCATTTGATTCATTGCTGGATGCAATGATTAGTAACATTTGAATGTCTGCACGTTAAAACAGTAAAGTAAGTAGTTGTACCTGAGGCTCTGCAGATGACCGATGAAGCTGGACGGAATGCTGGAGACAAAGCGACGCTCCGTCATTATGCCAGTTTCGATGTTGTGGAACTCCAGCCGAGTGTGGTCACCCACCATTTGGCCTGAAGAGGGGGAGGGTGGAGGGGATGGGTTGGGTTGAAAAGAAAGACAAAAACGAAAAGAAAAGAGAACACTGTCTGACACTAACACAAAAGGGCTGATTTAAGGAGAAAATTAAATTAACAGTATTAGATAAATGCAGTCTGTCACTAAAGCTTACATATCTACATCCTGTCTTTATTGCAGCATTATATATTGATGTATCAATCTCTAAGGCGACACACGACAGCACGGTGTGATACCACAAGGCAACGCTAACATTCATCTTCAAGCATGAACCGAGTTGTGGGTGTGTACCTTCTGCTACATCATCGTCAACAGTTAGCTTGTAGGTTTTTCCGCGGCGCACCACTCTCACTGTATGCCATTCATTATCATTGAGCTTTTGCCCGGCATACAGAGTCTCTGGTCCCTTGCCTGAGAAAAACGGTCAATCACAAAGTTAAAGACATCCTGAGCCCAAAACCAAACTGTTGTTTTCCCACTGTAAGTTTGGAGTCATTGTCAGAATTCTACAAGCAGCTTAGCTTTAGCTTGAAAATGGCTTTAAATCGGTTTTTCAATATCTTTCTTATTACTCTGGGAAACAAAAGTTTGGTTTTGAAAAAAGTACAAAATACTTGACATTTGTATTTCTTCTAAAACACCTGAGCACTAATGAAGTGAGTCAAGGCTTTCAAATAATTTGATCAGAAAGAGAAAGGGAAAGGGTAACGACAAAATTGCTTTTACTCATTTTTGAATTATAAAAACCTTTTTTTTTTTTTTCTTGTTTCATTCCTTTCTTTTATTTCTGTCTTTATTACTCTTTTGATTACATTTACTTTTAATATGTAATTTATGTTGTTAGGGGGTGCAAATCAATGTCAACAACAGAAGACGGCTCAGCAGCCCATGACAGTCTGCTTCTCCCAATCAGAATTATTATATTGTTCACAGTTCAAAAGAACTGAATATTTCAACCAGGAGCCAAATTATCCACATAGGTCCCCACTTTTCCAAAAAACAGAGCCAGTGAGTAAAGAGGTTTAACTAGGGATGCATCGATGTTACATTTCTTGGCCGATGCCGATGTTAAGAATAACGAATGCCGATGCCGATGTTTTAATGTATTTTTTTCCCACTGTTGTTATTACACTTTCTGCCAGGAAAAACAAATACTTGTTCTTGCAAAATGGTTTCAGTTTCTAAGGCTGAGCAAGTTCGTTATTATAACATCATAGTTTAGTTCTGTTTAGAAAGTACGCAGCGGATCACCTGCAGCTCTGCCCGCTGTGAGGGGACCGGTGAGCGAAGCAAAACACATGTTTAGAGTTAGACCTATCACACTTAGCTATTTTATCTACCTCTGAATCTACCTAAACTAGTTGTGAATATATTTATTCTTTACTGTCAGATCACTCATTAGTGGATCAGCGAGCTGCATGAGATGGGTACGGGCTGTCAGGAGAGAGAGAGAAAGAGAGAGAGAGAGAGAGAGAAAAAAAAATAGAGAAAAAGAGAGCGCTCCGTTTTGTGTCAACAGAACACTTTTTGCAAACTGCAAATCACGGAACTCTGGGTGAAAAAGTTAAATAGTCCCACACTTCCGACATTTTGTTGTTTTGTTTAGTTCATGTTTTTTTATACAAACAAACTACGGCTGCCGCAGATGTTATGACGGAACGCAACAAAAACATCTGCCATCGGTGAATGTCACCTCATTTGCTGATGTGCCGAAGGCAGTAAATAAGGCAAACATCGGCCGATGCCGGTTTCTGGCCGATGTATCGGTGCATCCCTCGGTTTAACCTTTAAAACCAGCGCCCTGTGAGGGCACAGAGCCAAGCGCATATAGCTAAGAAATGCTCAGCCTGTTTCTCTAATAGCTTAGGATCCAATCAGAAAGGATATTTTTTACTGGGAGACAAGTCAAAATATATCCATGGCCTCATTATGAGTAAAAGCAATCCATATGAATTCATTAAAAGAAAGTATACTTTTTGTACCTAAGACATGTATTACATCTTCCGACAGTACAGAACTCTTCTGCATATTCTGCGTATTTCTGCGAGACCAATTTATATATTTAGTTCATTTGACATAACTAATAACATGTCTTTAGGGAGACACAAACATTAATATATCATTTTAATGTATCATAGTTTTAGTTTTGAGGATAGAATAAGTAAACAACAACAATATATGAGTTGGCATTCACATGCATGTTGCTCATGGTTAATAATAATGTTAAATATTTGTATTATCATGTGTTCCCTGGATTTAAATGACCTCATTTGTTTCTTTAATTTTGAAGGAAAAAATGATGCATTGTGCCCAGAAACGTTTGGATCCCTACGATGCAGCGGGGGTTTACGAGCTTCAGCTTCAATTTAAATCTGGTCATTACGCCATTTCTCTCCGTTGGGATTTATTGTTGATAGATTCAGGTACCTCTGTTTTGTTTTAGCTTTGTTGGTTACCACGACTTATGTACAGATTGGATAAAAATTGTATTTAATTAATTACATGTGAATAGACTGTGCTGGACTACATGTAAACTGTTTTTTTTAATCTATTGGTGATTCCAAATTAATTATTTACACCAACTATTCATTCTCTATAATCAATCACCAGATGGAAGGATTTAATGTAGACTTGTTAGCAAAAGGTTTTTTGGGTACTAAAAAGGGGGTCAAGGTTATATGGCCCGTGGAGGTCCACCAGCATGTTGAACATCTACATCAACAGTATTCAAATAATAAACAAGCTTTCCAAATAAAGTCTGTCAGTGAGAGTAAAAGCTTGGATAACAAACCTAAGTAGCTCTGTTTGCTCTCAGATTGTAAGCACTTATTGTCATCACTTATTAAATCTTCTGAATTGGCGTTTACTCTTACTTAAACATTGTGGCAAAGTGAAACACATTAAATATGTATGTGGCTACTACTGGGCAAAATGGTGGAGTGTTTCTTTCTGATAGCAATTTGAGAAAAGGGAAGGGCGGTGCAGAATTCACATTTAATAAAAGACATTTCATTTAAAGAAATAACATCAACATAGCATCAACATAGAAAGCAAAATGAAACTTGAGTGTTAACTTACTGGAGTTACAGTTTATCCTGATACAGTCTAGATGGGGAAGAATAAATGACAGATGAAATTGCATCCTTCAAGGTTACTGCTGCAGACATCCAAAAACAAAAAGTCCACCCTTCCGGGGACGTACACATGCAGGAAGGCAGCCATTTTATTCATTTAGTTTACTTTTAAGATTTCCAGAATGTTTTAAATGTTAATAAGGTAAAGCATGGATTTGTCATTAAAATGTACTGGTTTTTACAAGCTGCTTTTCTAGAGTTGTGTTACCCTTAGAACCAGACTTAAGATTTAAAAATTGTTTAGGCACAGTATTACAGTAAAATGGCCACTTATAGTACCAGCTACATGAATGTTTCAACCCAACACTGCCTGTTCCATTTTAGATTTACATATTTAGATTAGAACAGTCAAAGTCTCTGGCTCCAAAGCCTCCGCACCGACACGGTGGAAGCAGCTATCCATTTTAGAGCCATCGATTTTTGAAAAGTCAGGAAATCAAGAATGTTTCAATTGTATTTTGCTGTTCAAACAGCAGAAAGGTTATATTTGAGGTGTGTTGATGTGATCTGTTAACAGTCCCACTGAGGCCAGAATGACTGCTGTATTCAGTTTTGAGACAGTGAGGGTTGGTCACCATGTGGCTGGTGGTTTCATGTGTCGTCAACCGCAACAGAAAAGTGGGAGCAAACAGCCACGATCCAATCAGCACCAGCACCATGCAGAGGCACAACAACCCCAACCATCAGATCTGCAACTCTATCCTACGCCTAGTGTCACTTAATTAATCCAAGACTAGATCTTAACATTTTTACATGTTAACAAAGTGCAGAAATTCACACAGACTAATATAGGTTAAGAAATGATATATGCTCTGACCAATTAGAGCTGTATAGCATGAACATTTTACCTGGTATCTGGGATATTGCTTTCACGAATTAACATAATGAATATATAGGTTATCTATGTGGTATGGCAAACCAGCCAACGTCTGCTGATAGTGCCATTACTCTTACTGTACATGTTATCCTTTTAAAAACACATACTGTATATGTGACTAATTTGTCATTCTTTACAAATTATGATTGAAAATGTTTTTGGGGTCACAGCCAGCTGTAGGTTTTGCTGGGCTCTGTTCTCGGGCTGTTCGCCTGACGGGCCGCAGGCTTAAGGCCTTTGAAGGGGTGAATACCATCTTTTGACAAAGCAGGATGAAAAATGGAGTTGAACGGGAAACATAAAAACTAAAAACTGAAAAAGCATAAAATTCCAGATAAGACACCATCATCAGCAAAGAAAACAAGCTCCCAGAAGAACAGGAGGGTGACAGAGAGACGGAACAATGAGGTTAGTGAGAAAGACAAGAAGTTTCTTCTGATGTCCTGTTAAATGGTGGACTGAAGATCAGTGGACATACTTGGTGGAAATCAGTTCTTAGGAAGTCTCAGCACACTTGGGTCTTTAACTAAAAACTTAACTAGTAACCAGACTTTAAAGCCCAGTGTCTTTTCATTATAATGCATATTCTGTAAAGTCTGTGCTGAGACTGTCTCAAAAGTTCTGTACACAAGAATATGGATATGGTTTGTTTGTTTCAAAGATGGGCAAAACATGTTTACCATTAAAATAAATTAAGTTATGATGTGTAGCCTAAGATGTTATTGTTGAATTCAGTAAGCAGTCTGTGGTTCTCTGTGTGCACAGCATTAAAGGACATGCACAAATGTTGTAAAGTTAGAAACCAGTTAGAAAGGCATTATAGTAATGAGTAACTGATACAAAAAGAAAACAAAGGGATAGAGGTGAAAGCAGAGGTCACTGCTTAACAGTGAACAGTCTCACAGGAAAGGTGGAGCAGTGGAGGCAGATGGGGGAGGGGGGGATTGGGGGTATACGATACCTAGGTTGACCGTGAGTTTGACACGACCCCCATCCAACTCCAGCCTGAGCGTGTCGGCTGAGTCTCGGGAGGTGGTGGCCATGAGGAGACCGTAAGCCCGCTGAGAGCGGAAGCGCAGTGAGACGTCCTCCGCCTCAGTGTGCATGATGTTTGGCATCACCACCTTCATATACATGCTGCCATCATAGGAGAGGATGGAAGCCTCTATGAGAAAAAATCAAGAGCATAAAGTCATTTTAGACATATGTCATATCAATTTCATCAGCTAGGAACTGATGCTGTATACATATTCAATAAGTCCTGGCAGTGGCTCTCGGGCTGTGTGTTGGTCAGTTGGTCCAACACTTGTTTCAGACCAGGACTGCAATAACCCCAACTCAAGAGGACACTCCGACTTGTTAGTCAACCTTAAATAAACTATGAATCACCATCATATAATAACATATTGAGGCTTGCAAAAAACATTGTCTCTGAGCCCAACCATGTTCTGAACTGTGAATATGAGTTGTTACCATCAAATAAGAGATACGGGTTCCAAAGATTTAATAAAGTTTGCCTGAAAAACTCTTTAGTGCAATCCCATATCAAATGTACATCAAAGAGCATTTTACATATTGTATTCAGTGATTGTGATTTTATGTTTAATAACTGTTTCTTTGTTTCTTGTTCTTATGTGTCCTTGTTAATGGAACTGCTGTGGTGCGCTGTAGCTCCTGCTAAGACACATGACATATGGCAAAGATAAAAAAGGGTGCGGTTACCTACGTTTTCCTTTGATTGTGGTTCATAAGGATTTACAAATAGATGCAGACAGAACCTTAATCAAAATGCTTGTAGTTATGAGGGTTTGTCATTCATAGTCCATCACTGTCTAAACCGAAAGTCCTTTGTCACTCTCTTCCATCCACATCTCTTCTCTCCTCCCTGCAATGTCTGTTCTCATTAGGTAAGACCTGCCTTCTTGGCAGCCAATCAAAATGACAACCTTGAAAGAAACATACAGACGGTGTGGTGTATATAATTACCGACCTTTTTACCTTAAACTCACACAGAGGTTGCCTATGTGGATACAAGAAACAGTGTGTACAGCAGCAGCAGAGCACCACAGTGGTGTGAACTGGCCATTATGACATTCTAAGTAGTCTGCAAACTGAGGGAATGGGTCGCTGTCAGTGCTTGAATTGGAATAAAAAACATGCCAGTAATCAGCAACTGTTTCAAGTCAATTTATTTATACAGCCCAAAAACAAATATTTGGCTCAAAGTCATGGTATATCCTATAATGCTGGTGGCATAGGCGGCGCGTGAGGCTCAGGTTTGGGAAGGCTAAATAAAAATGTTTACCTGACGCTGCCCGCCTCCGGCGTCAGAAAAGAGATCGACTCTGAAAGCACCGCCTGCTGACCAATCAGAGCTCAGTGTGCAGAGTTTGAATCTATCAAGTCATATTACAGGATAAAGGAAATACAGTTTAAACTGCCGTATGCAGGGAAGATGCCGATGTGTCGCACCTATCATTCATATCACATCATCAATCAGATCATCGATCATATAATATCATAATATATCATATATTTCCTTATCTGAGTCAGCTTCTCGAGCCGTATCTGGCCGTGCAACACTTACATTGTCACATACTGTATGCAGAAGTATTATTTTAAGTAACACATTAGGTTGACAACTCAAATGTAATTAAAGTCAGATCCACTCGTGTCTAGATGGGGCAGTGATATCATAAAACTGTTGTACGCTTTCAAACAAGCGTTAAATGTACAAATTAATGTGTCGCCTAGAAGACTCGGACAATCATGTTATCTCGATTTTAATTAACCCTGTGAAGAGTTCTACTCGGTTCTCTTCCATGATTTGGAGACATTGGCGCAATAGCCTATACAGACAGTGTGTATGTGTGGCTGGCTGTGATTGGACTGATTTTACGTTTTTATCTGTTTGTTTTTATCTGTTTTGTGTTTAGCTTTTTATCTTAATTATTGATGTGTGTCTTGTCTTTTTGTATGTGATATGGACCTTGAGTCTGAACTAAAGATTGAATAAAACACTTTATAGTAGTTTGTTTATTTATTTTTTAACCAGTTGTTCTATATTCACCTTGCAGGTGGGTTACTATGTGGCTTGTATCCTGGATTATATGTTTAAGTCATGGATGTTTAAAGTTCATATTTGTCTAATATTAGTTTACTTTTCATTAATGAAGTATGACGCTGCGCTGTCAGTACACTTGTCCCAGATACGTTTGTGATTGGTCAAATGTTGCTAACCCCGCCCCTTACACGTGAACGCGCTCTCAGCTGGACAGAGAAACCCTGGCTTGATTTAAAATGCTTGATTTAAGATAACTCAAACATATCCAGGGTCTGTTGAACTGGCTTCGTAGTACAGGGCACAGGTGGCTGCATGGCAGCGTTAATGTCAAAGACACAAACATTATAGGCTACATTATATTTACATTTTACCAGGATGCAGAGATAAATATATTTGGGAAGGCTTAGCCTTAGAAAGGCTCACTGTACTTAAACAAAATTACTCAGGGTGCATCTGAGATTAGAGGGGGTGCAAGGGTGAAGTTCTATTTTTATAAGTGGTGAGTGGACCTGACACCCTATAGGGGGGTCCGGGGGCATGCTCCCCCGGGAAGAATTTTTTTTTAAATATTGAAGTTAGATGCATCAATCTGGTGCACTTTGAGAGCGAAATGAAGAGATATATGGATACCTCTCAACATCCATATGAAACAACTGTAAACAGATTTACTTTTTCTTTATGGATAAAAGAAAGTAAAGCCTGACTCCTACTGGCGGCTGGTTAAATGACTCCTCGTCCTGAGTACACTCACCATCTTTCAGCAGGAAAGGAGAGAGGGAATCCTTGTCTGGCGATAACCGCTGTCTTTTCGCACTATTATTAAGCCACGCTAAAATTTGCGAAATGCTAACGTTATGTGATGTATTTTATGCTCTAGTCTATCGCTGCGGCGCGGCCGGCGGCATCTCATGATGCATCTAGGTGCGCTGGGCATATTTGTTGTCATGCGTCATGACTTGCCGCCGGCGGCTGAGTACCGGCATTTTACTGAGTACCGGCACCTTGCCAGTGGTCCATAAAAGTCTGCACTAATGCTGTGCCAGGTTGATTATCTGAAGTACAATGTCTTCTTCTTCTTCTTCTTCTTCTTCTTCTTCTTCTTCTTCTTCTTCTTCTTCTTCTTCTTCTTCTTCTTCTTCTTCTTCGGTGGTGGAGGTGGGTTTTTGAAGAGGGATTTTCACTTTTATTTTTGTTTGTTTCTGTTTCAATCGTTTCTTTAACTGTATGATCTTTCGTTGGGATATTTGTACTCTTTGCAAGTACGGTTAATACTTTTTCATTAGTGTTTTTCTGTGCCTTGTGGCGGGGATGGCGTCCTTTGGGGTGCCGCCGGTGTCTCTGAGACACGGAGTGCGTTGGTGGCTCAGGCCGCAAGCACAGTGGAGCAGGTGCTGCTGGCTGTGGGGGATCAGGTCGGTCATGTAAACATCTCCTATTCTTCCCGCATGAACAAAGCGGTCGTGGTCTTTTTAGCCGGTACTACGCTAAGTGGAAACG